TTGAGCTATTCATCCTTTGCTTCATCTTCCTCATCAAAATATTATTTTTGAGAGTTAGAAATATTTTTTCTTTGAGTGCTATAGAAGTTGTCATCCATAGAGCTTAAATCTTTCAACACTACTTTGCTCAATTGTGTGAGCTTTCATTCTTGTGTTGTAAACTCAATCTCATTTGAGTGTTGTTCTTAAGACTTGTGTGACTCAAGTCTTGTTGTTGTAAGAAAGTGAGGCTTGTGTGATTCAAGTTCTCAAGTTGTACCGGTTTTTCAAGCACCCGTTGAAGCTTGAAGATTAGTAGGACTTTCGAGAGAGTCTCTCGGAGGACTGGACTAGCCACGAGGTGGTGAACCAGTATAAATCCCGGTGTTCTTCTTTCCCTTACTCTCCTTACTTATTCCTGCGATAATTTTTACGAAAAACGTACATTCTTGAAAACAACTCTATTCACCCCCCCCCCTCTAGAGTTGCACATTTGTCTAACAATTGGTATCGGAGCAGAAAGTTCTTCGAATACATTATTTTTTTCAGGAACTAAAAGATCAAATGGCATCAAGGATGTTCAACGCAGGAGTGACCGAGGGACAATCAACCACGAGGCCACCTCTGTTCGATGGAACAAACTACTCGTATTGGAAGGAGAGGATGAGAATCTTTATCCAATCCAACGACTACAAGCTATGGCTAATTGTGAAGAACGGATGCGGAGTCCCGATGAAGAAAGTCGGTGAAGTCAACGTTCCCAAAACCAAAGAGGAGTTCACCGACGAAGATTGCAAAAAGATGGAGCTCAACGCAAAGGCAATAAACATGATTTATTGCGGTGTTAATGCGGATGACTACCGCAAAATTTCGCGGTGTGAAACCGCAAAACAAATGTGGGAGAAAATGGAGGTCACCTACAAAGGAACCGCGCACGTTCGGGAGGCCAAAATCGACCATCTTACTCACGAGTACGAACTCTTCTCAATGAAGGAAAACGAGAAGATTGAGGAAATGTTTGAGAGGTTCTCTAACATCATTAATCCTCTCAATCTTCTCGGGAAGACCTACACCGACCGAGAGCTCGTAAGAAAGGTGCTACGAAGCCTATCCCCCAAATGGCGTTCAAAGGTGGACGCAATCAAAGAAGGTCGTGACTTTCAAACAATGACCTATGATGCTCTTCGAGGTAATCTTATTACCTACGAAACCACCCAACTCTCAAAGGTGGTTGAAGAGAGGAACAAGAGGTCTATTGCTCTACCCGCAACAACATCAACCCACAACAACGTTGATGAAGAAGATGATGACAGCGACGACACCGACCTCGGACTCTTTGTCCGAAAATTCAAGAAGATGATGCTCAAG